AAATAAACATTTAAAAAATTAAAAAACAGTCTCTTATGCTTTATTTAAAGGTTATTCTAACATTAATAGAATTATGCATTTTAATAACATTTTCTTAACAAAACAGTTCTGAAGTATTATTTATCTCCTTAAGTTTTCCCAATTATCTCCTTCCAACAAATTGTAATTTTCTTCGAGAATCGAGAGAATAAAACACTGAATTGGTGACATTTACATTGGGATTCCTTCTCCATGGAGTATCTATCTCTGATTAAGGAAGGTCCTGTCAAAGAGAAAAAGTCAAGTGAGTGTCATTTTTTTTCTATTAATGGCTGAGTTCCCAGAATGATTCATATTTTAGCCTATGATATCATCCTTATTTAATAAGTATTTAGACAGAAAAATACTTAGAGAAATAGCAGAATAAAATGAAAGGGAAGTAGAAATAATCCAAAAGAGTAATAGTCTAATTCAAGCTTTAAAGTGAGTGTTGTATATTCAGTTTTCATTCAGAACACTGATATCGATGACAAATTGAATACAGTTTGGGATTTCATTTTGTCTGACACTGACATTAATACTAGTAGAAAGCACCTGCTTTCATTTTCAGAGTGCTTTAAGAAAGTTAATCCTGAGAAAGGGATTCTTGGAGATGGGAGGCTTGAATGCTTTCTGTGTTCTCTCCCCTTCTGATTCCAATTTCTTTACCTCTCGAGCCAAGCAGCTTCTGAGATCAGAAGGACTGCAAGAATGAGAGAGAGGGTAGGTTCTACTGGAGTCCTAGTAGAAATCTGATGTGCAATTTTGTCTCCTGTGCTCCCACTGAAAGCCTGGAGAACAGTGCAAGAGGAGCCTTGTATGAATGTGGCAGATCGTGGGAAGAGCTCAGGCTGCACGAATCTTCCCTCCTCTCAGATTTATGTCAGAAAATGTTAATTCCCATACAACAATGCAATATTAGTTAAAACCCCACAAGGACTTTTAAGGAGTATTTGAAATCATTTTAAAAATTACTAAATATTTGATTAATTTCTTAGATAAGTGAGAAAGAATGGATGCCTGAGAGTAGGCAGAGCAAGTCTGAAAAAGAGACTGGTTTTGATGATGATAGAGAGTAACTGTATTACTCAACTTCAGAACATCCTGTAAAGCCACTTCAGTACAGTCAATATGATCCTAACACAGGACAGATAAATACAGCAGAACAGAATAGAGATTTCTCCACCAGCATTCTTTACCTGAATCACAAAGCACAGGAAATGGTTTCAGATAGTGTTTTCTTGATTTCCCCAAGGATAATACAGAACTAGTACCATTCTAGATGCACTGGAGAGAAGTGCATTTATTATATATGGTGTATGTGTTAGGCATCAGGGCTTAATTCTCACAGAACCAAGTTGAGAGAGACTAGATAAGCCAGAACTATAAAATTAAATATATGGCAAAAATGAAATTTCACCTGGGAGAAAGATAATTTTTTCTTTTAGTGGTAATACAGACATAATTGATTATCCATATGGGAGAAAATGAACTTGGACCCTTATGGCACTTCGTATATGAAATAAATTGCAGGAAATTCAAGACTTAAATATAAAAATGAAAACAAAAATCATAGAAGAAAATTTTGATTTCCATATGTAAACCCCTATGGATTGGAAAGAGCCTCTTAAATCAGGAGACCTAGAAATTTTAGTTTTTTTTTTTTTTTTTTTTACAAGAGGACATGATGTCAAATGCAATTATTTTCATCTGATTTTTTAAAAAGACCATAAATACATAATGTCAATACGTAAAAATAGATATTAAAAACACTAAAAGTACAAATGACACCTATTTAAGTATCAGTTATAGACCAAGTGCTCTTCTAAACTGATAAAAAGAATCGAAACCACAATAGCAATGATACAAATAGATAATTCCATTTGTGTTGAGTTCTAGAACAGAAAACACAATCTGTAGTGATAAAAGTCACTTAGCATTTGCCTGGGAAGTAAATGGAAATTGCTGGCAAAGGGCCATGATGAAATTTTCTGAAGTAAAAGGAATGTTCTGTGTCATTGTGGAGATGATTACATTCTCTGGTCTTTGTGTACTTAAACATGTACTTTGATGAATGTGAGTTATACCTCAATAAAGTTGATTTAAAACTATAGTTGATACCCTTAAACATTTTAAAGAATGTTAGCACCTGTTGCTGTTAGGGTTGTGGACAAAAGGATGTTCTCTTTTCTTGCACAAAGGTGAATTTTTTATAGCCTTAATGGGAGTAACTTTGAAACATCTATAAGATAAAAACTGTATCTTTCAATCCAGCAGCCCTGTTACTTGGACTGTTCCATAGGAATAAAAGTCCTAGTACATAAAAATGTATGTACAAATATGTTTAATGCCACACTGTTCTTAGTGGCTAAAACCTGAGGACCAAATAAATGCCCATTAGTAGGGGAATGTCTGGTGACACTGTAGAACATCAGTATTAATTATACTATGTGAAAGGATGAGTTCAAACTCTATCAGATGGAAGGATATCCATAATCTTGTTCAGGAAGAAAGCATGATGCACTTAAAATCCAATTGGCTATTTCATATTTGAAAAGAAACTAGTGCTTTAAAAAATATCCTATAAAGACGTATGTTTTAATATATGTGTAAGAAACACATTCAGGGTTATATATTCTAACCTAAACATGGTTTTCGTAGTGTAAAGAGCAGGACATGGGGGAGAGGTGAGAGAGAGAGAGGCAGTCGGGAGGTAGAGTGGCTCAGAGAATCAAAAAGATTTATTTGAAAAACATCAAAACAGCACACACATATACTTTTCTGTATTTGCAGAATACCATATGCCTTCATAAAACTAGGAGAAAGTACTAGGTTTTTATGTACTGTTTTAGAGGGATGTTCAAAATATACATTCAAATTTTAGATAGTGTATTGCAAAGTAATGTTTATAACATTCATCTGTTTTTGTAAATAAAATCCTTTGTAGATGAGCTCTTGTCTTTAGATTGCTTTCAGTTTCTCTGAAGAACTTTCCAAATACTATCTTCTTGATTTCCAGGTGCTGAAAGTGGATGTCTGTTTATTTTGGAGTGGTATGATCAATACAGAAAAATTAGCTCTGTTCTCTTCAGTACCACCGGTTGTTCCCAAAGACTTAGTGTTACCCAAGGGCAGATCTGCACAGATGGTGGCGTCCTTTTGATCCAGTAGATGAGCGAATAGGATTGAATCTAACTAGATTTTAGGGTTTACTGAGGTTCTACTTGGTATTTCACTAAAGAACCTACAGGTCTCAGTTGGTGTCTTTCAACCCTCCATTTTCATTTTTCTACCTATACATTTCATACTTTTATTTCACTCACTTTGGAGGGTGAGAGTAAACCACTTATTCCCAGATGGCAAAGTCGTAAATATAGGAGGAATTTTGCATCTGTGATCATCATTGGTTTAGATTTCTTTGAAGTTATGATTGGTACTTAATTTTTTTTTAAGTTTACTCTTGAGAGACAGAGCATACATGTGCATGTGTACCCTTGAACTGGAGAGAGGACAGATGAGAGAGAGAATCCCAAGCAGGCTCCACACTGGCTCCACACTGTCAATGCACAGCCCAACACAGGGCTCAAACTCAAAAAGCGTGAGGTCATGACCTCAGCTGAAATCAAGAGTCAGATGCTTAGCCAGCTTAGCCACCCAGGTGCCCCTATGATGGGTACATTTAGCACTGGTTGTGTTTTCTAGGGATTTCTTGCATGGAACATAAATCCCATTTTCACTGTCACATAAAGAAAGACAAGCACAGTTTGCTTAGTAGAAAACAGTTTCTTTTATTGAACCCTTCTATCCCTCATCTTTGGAAAACCTTTGTTTCCATGTTTATCTTATAGAACCTTGGGTACCTCTGCGTTTGTTTAGAGGGACATCTAACATTGTTTTCATTTCCCTTCATTTACCTTTACCAACACAGGACATGAACACAGGAACCCTTGACCCCACTGTAATTGGTTAAAACAGAACATTTGGAATACCTTGATACACACACACACACACACACACACACACACACTCACTTTAACAGAACATTGCAGAGTATGAATATACAATGAATAAGTTAAGATTCACTAGTACTGTAACCATCCCACCTTATACGTAAATATAAAGCATCTTTTAAGATCAGTTTTATTTAACAGATCACCCAATTCAGAGTATCTTCTCACATAAAACATAAGTCCAATGAGGCACCCAACTTGAGACCCAAATGATGTAAACAGTATGGAATATCTGAATGATAATCTGCTTCCAAAGATTACTTGTACCCCCATTAAACTCTGATTTCAAGGTTCCTGAGAAGATAAAAATAAATAAAATTCCAACTCGATTAAAAAAAATTGAGCCCCTATTCTAAGGATGATCTGTATGTGATCAAGAAAACTCTTAAATTATTAACTTCTCTTTCATACTTAAGTGCTACAAATTAACCACTTTTTAAAAGCATTTTGGTTAATCTTTTTTTTTCACTCTTGAGGTATTAAGCTTTTTGCAAAGATAAACATTATTCAATTAGCTATGAATTGGAAATTCATAGGAAATTTTGATCCTATATTATGGATGGGGGGGAGGGAGGAGGGCCTAAGGCAAATCAAAAATTAAAAAAATAGTAGAGCTGATTAATCAGTCATTTAAATTGAGCAGAAGAAAATATACACATGCATACTATATATGTTAATTTTATAATTATATAGTATATATGCAATTCCTTTTATGGGCTTTTCTGGAGAATTTATCAATCTGAAAAAATGGAGAGAATAAGGAAAGATGAGTTGGCATTAGTAAATGTTAATGGAATCAATGTAAGTACAGGCAAGTTAATGCAGTATGCCTGAGGCTGCTTTTCATATGAATTCTTTAACTTTTAAAACTTGGAGGAAATTGAAATTATTCAACATGGTAGTATTTTAAAAATTGAAATGTCCATTTTTAGTAACATTCCCTTTTCCATTTTTTTCCCTGGTTTTAAACAGGCCATATACTCCTATGAAAGGACAAATCTCCAATGTATGGTTTGACAGATTTAAAATCTCTAATGACTGCCCAGAACACCTTGAATCAATCAATGTAATGTGTAAAGTGCTTACGGATTTGATTGATGATGAAGTAAAAAGTGGCATCAAGAAGAATAGAATATTAGTAGGTAAGTTCTTTAAATGTTGGTAAATTTCTTTCACTTTTGTCTATTTCTATACTTTGAACTTTACTTGCAGTATTATTTAGAAACACCTGTATATCACTTGACCTGTTCATTGTTTCAAGTAAGAGTTTACATATTGAAAGTTTCAAAATATTAAAATTAACAGCTCCTGAAACTTTAACTCATTTCATTTTTTAATAATAACATAATTTGAAGGGGACCTGGGTGGCTCAGTCAGTTAAGTGTCTGACTTCAGCTCAGGTCGTGATCTCACAGTTCACCAGTTCAAGCCCCACGTTGGGCTCTGTGCTGATAGCTCGGAGCCTAGAGCCTGCTTCAGACTCTGTGTGTGTGTCTCTCCCTCCCTTCCCTACTCGGTCTCTGTCTCTCTCAAAAATAAACATTTAAAAAATTAAAAATGAATAATAATAACATAATTTGAGTATTCCATATTTACTATTCAATTAAGAGTTTATTCATTTCAGTTTTTAAAACATTTTATTTTAATTAGCTTAAGTTTTATAAAAGTGTTTAAACTACGGTTACCATGACTAAGGTAGAGCATACAATCAAAATATAATATAAAATTCATGAAAAGTAAACCCTTCACAGTATCACAGGAATAAGACATTTGTAAACTTTTATTAAACTTGTCTTCAGCAATCTCTCTTCCCAAGGGGATATAATATGCCTCTCTGTAAGCTGTTTATTGTACTTAATGCCCTTTTCTTTTTCTGTAATCATCAAATACATAAACTATTAAAATCTCTATTTCTGTAATACATAGGAAAATGAGATTGACTGGGTAGAATGTGAATGGTACCAGAATGTTTTGGTGAAGGAGTTTTATTTTCAAATATAACTATTCAGTTTAAAATGACTTGTATTTAATGATGAAATTATGAGCAAATTAGCTATCTCTATCATATTCTAATTAACCTTAAAATGCATATTGGGATCTTGTGTAGACAAAATTTGATAAATTAATAAATTGCCTTTGTGTTTATTAAAGTACTGAATTAGTCATTGACTTGAGAGGCAGTTAATATGATGAATAAAATCCATTGTCTTCTGCCTTGCCTTCAGCTTCCACTTTTGTTAGTTAAAAGCAGTGAGCCCTCTAGCCCAATAACATCACCTTCCTGGTCCACTGTTTCAACACCTAAATATAAAACATAAATGAGGGTGCCTGGGTGGCTCAGTCGGTTAAGCCTCCAGCTTTGGCTCAAGTCATGATCCAATGATTCGTGAATTTGAGCCCTGTGCACAGCCTACTTAGGCTCTTCTGTTTCCCTCTCTCTCTACCCCTCCCTCACTTGTGTGCTCTCTCTCAATAATAAATAAGATTTGTTTTAAAACATAATGGAAGTGTTGGGAAGACCATGAGGAAGGGTATCCAACTCAGTGTAGGGGTAAACTATAGAACAGTTATAAAACAGAATAAAAAATGTGGGAATATATGACTAAGTCTGTCTTTCAGTCATTTAGCAAATATTTTCTAAGTTAGGGTGTGCCAGGCAATGTTAGATCCTCAAAGAGACACACAGATCAATAAATAAGGATCTGTGTCACAAATGTTAACAACCTGGAAGTGCCATAAGGTCTTTACAATGATCACTATAGTGGCAGTAAGCCTGTGACAAGTGCCCTAAAGCAAAGTATCTGATGGCTCTTCGAAGAGAATGGTCATGTGTATTTCCTACTTCTTCCCAGCACCCATCACAATTCCCGGCATAGAGCAAATGCCTAGGAAATTTATAATGAACAGCATGACCTGGTCAATGAATTGCTGATTTAAGTAATTAAGTTCCACAGGAATTCAAAGCAGAGATCATATGTATTTGAGGCTATTCAATATAATGGGAAGGTAGCAGTGGCATTTGAGATTTGAGATGCACACATAAATAGATTTAACTTCTGTAGTGTGGAGGTCTAGGCATAGAGAATGATAGGAAGTAGAAAAAGTAGTGCTTGTTGTTTTTATCTGTCTGGACGTTAGATGGCTTTAGCCGAAAGTTTGTTGTCTGACAAAAACGCCTTTAACTCTGGCAGCTCCGCCAACAGACTGCACAGCAGGATGGTATAGTGACAGATATAGGTTCAGATCTGATGTCTGCCTTGTTTACCACTGCATATTACATATCCTGCATTTCTGCCACCACACGTGTACTGGAAATAACAATACAACATCTATTTTCCTGGGACGTGGTGTTTATAAAATATTTGGCTCATTCTAGGCTCCCAAATTCTTTCCGGTTCCCCTTCTATCCTGTATTCTGTAGATGATTGGTGAGGGATGATCAAAGAAGGTCTGTGAGTCATTCAGCTCATTAGAACTGTGTGTCAGCAAAACTAATCTGGCAGGAGGGTTAAGTGAACAGATGCAAGGCTGTGTTTGTGTAAAACAATTACTGAATTTATCATTATAAGGTAACAAGATTCCGAAGAAATGTGATGACAGTGGGAAAAGAAAAGATTAGGATAAGAAATTGCTTTAAGATAAAATTGCAAAATCTTCGTGCATAAAAAGGTAGAAAATATTCTAATTAGTACTCTTACTGTATATAAGCTAAAGATTCTCTCATGTTGACCTGTAACCTCCATCTGCGTGTCTCCTTCTGTCCCTACTTCTCCCTTCCCCATATCTGTCAGCTACTTCGTATTACTCATCTCTGAAAAGAGACTGTGAGGGACTGTTGTAATGTCAGAGAGCTAAGAAGAATTTTGAATCTGGGGGCCTGGGTTGCTCAGTTGGTTAAGCATCCAACTTCAGCTCAGGTCATGATCTTGTGGTTCTTGGATTTGAGCCCCACATTGGGCTCTGCACTGACAGTGTGGAGCCGGCTGGGGATTCTCTGACTTCCTCTCTGCCCCTCCCCAACTCACGCTTCCACTCTATCTCAAAATAAATGAATAAATTTTTTAAAAAATAGGAATTGAGGTTTATTTCATTTTGAAGCCCATGATTCTCCTATTCAATTTAACTGAACATTTTTAAGACTTGTAACACATATTGTCAAATTCCTTTCACAAAAAAAATTGTGCCAGTTGATACTCCTGTGACCCCTATTAGAATGTCCATCTTAATGCATCATCACTGAAAAATATTGCCTTGAAAAATATTTGCTAGAAATAAGTAAACAAAAAGTCGTAATTAAATTGTACTTAATTTGTTATTCTCCTTCTCCCTCTGTTTGTTATCTGTTAACAAAGGAAGGCTTTTCTTAGTTGTCTATTAGTCTTTCCTTTTATGATTTTTTTTTCAAATAATGTTTCAGTTTGAGAAAGTCTTTAGAACTTGGATAAATATTCAAATAGATTTTCTACTGGTTTTCTATAATGTGATTTATTTTTTACCTGTACTTCTTTGATTCATCTGGAATTTATTTTGCTTTCTTTTTACCATATCATAGAGATTTTAACATTTTCTGAAGTACCAAGAAAACTGTGTTAGAGTATAGTCTTATTCAGGGGCATTGGGTGGCTCAGCTAAGCATCTGACTCTTGACTTCCACTGACGTTGTGATCCCAGGATTCTGAGGTCGAGCCCTGCGTCAGGCTCTGCACTGAGTGTGGAGCCTGCTTAAGATTCTCTCTTTCCCTCTTCCCCCTCCCCCACTCATGCTCTCTCTCTCTCTCTCTCTTAAAAAACAAACAAACAAAAAAGAGTCTTATTTATAAAGCCATCAATAAAATGGTCAGTATTTTATCAAAACACCATTGAATCTGCAACAACAAAATTTCTTTTTGGAAGCTTTGTAGATTATTACATTACTGAATTATAAAATTTGAAATTTATGACAAAGCCATATTAAAATGTTCTATGTTATAGTTATATATTATTTTTTAATATAAAAAGGCAGGGAAAGAAAGATTTTTTTAGAAAGTTTGAGGTGAGCTGATTGACTTCAATAAAGCCTCCTTCCTAGCTTTGTGAAAGAGACCACAGAGTACATATACAAGGTGCTTTGTTCTTGTTACCTGTATTGTCAACTAGTCAGTGAACCGAAATCTTCAGTAACAGTCGGTAGCATTAAACATGTACGCCAAAATACACATGATCCTTGACTTCTTAGGCTATGACAAAACATTCATTATATCACTTCCTCTTTTGTATGCTGTCTTCTGTACGTAGGTTAGCTTCTCATCCAAAACTCACTACTTTGTAGGCATAGGATCTCCTTAACCTCTATGCTTGGATGACAATAATAAGAGTACCTGTCTTACAGATGTGTGATAATTAAATTAGTCAATTCAGGCTAAATACTTGGAAATGTGTCTGGCATGTAATATTGAGACCGTTTTCTTGCTGTTATTAAATAGTCTTTATGCCACGGTCACTCCAAGAGCTGAAGGGCCCTGATAGACCATTGTTGCCCCTGGGGGACCTCTAGACAGCTCACTACTTCCTCCCCACCAGCTGTTTTCTTTTTCCTCAATGGCGCACATGCTGGGTTTCCCACTTTCTTTTTTATACATTATGTAAACAGAAGTTACTGCTTAATAAGTTTCAACTGGTTCTTGTGCTTTTGTAGTAGCTGTGGTAGTACATTTTAAGTGAAGTAAGATTTAAGTGCTACTCATAACACATTAATGAAGGAGGGATTCAGTGGGAAATCAAAAGAAAAATGCACTTAAGATTCTGATCAATTTTTTTTAATGTTTTATTTATTTCTGAGAGAGAGAGAGAGAGAGACAGCAAGAGCAGGGGAGGGTCAGAGAGAGAGGGAGACACAGAATCCGAAGCAGGTTCCAGCCTCTGAGCCAGCCGTCAGCACAGAGCCCGACGTGGGGCTCGAACCCACGACCTGTGAGATCATGACCTGAGCCAAAGCTGGACGCTAACCGACTGAGCCACCCAGGCGCCCCAATTCTGACCAATTTTTAATACACACAAACACAATGCATCACAGTGAGATTGCATTATTTTAAAAAATTCATTGCAAAAGGAAAAATTAGAAACTTTTAACATTGGAAAGGAAAAACATGGAGATAATAGGTAA